ACGTGGATGAATTTCATACATACCTTGGCTTTTTACAAGTTTATTTTGGATCTCCAGGCATGTTTCCAATAATTGCTAGATAAATGAAACATCACTAGAAGGCATACAATCTGCCCACCCTCAAAGGTACAACTCCATAGATATCCTGGACACATCATGGCCAAATAAAGACATAATAGACGTTGATATAATTAGCAATTTATGGTGAATACAAAATGTCCCTGCTGAGTCAGTGAGTATAGCCCAGGATATGGCCTCCCCCCATGTCACAGCATGTTGCTGGACACCAGTCACAAAGAAGCATGCCCTGCCTTGCCCCTCCTTCCCCTCACTTCAGTACACATTATATTCTACGAGATGTAAAATGCTGCAACCCACATTCAGTCTGTGTTTGTAATGCGTCCTTTTCTCTTCCCTCACATATGGCATTTTGAAACAATTACATAATGAGACATATTATCAGGGCATAACTGTCAAAAATGAAGAGACTGAGCTGTGAATAAATATTACCCACTTATTAGCTGTGCTGCTCCTGTGTTCTCAAATCTGTACTTTATCCCTGACTCTTGGGGGTATACTTTACCCCCTGATTGCCTGTGTAACAAAATGGCCCTGCACTAAAAGTATTCAGAAAAACATTTACAAAGTCCGCGGCAAATTAAACTCTAAAGTAGTGTTTCTTGTCATATTTCTGTTACAGTCTGGTGAAATCTACTGAATATCTTCAGAGCATGTTTTAAAATTCATAAAAATATATAGGATAATGAAGGACACCACTTATATTGAAATACTGTTAAAGAGTCACCTGACCCTGTGTTAAGAACGTTGCTCCAGGGGTGCCTGGGTGGCTCAATTGGTTAAGTGTCTTACTCTTGATTTTGGCTCAGGTCATGATCCCAATGGTTCGTGGGTTTGAGCCCTGTGTCAGACTCTGCGCTGACAGTGTGCAGCTTGCTTGGGATTATCTCTCTCCCTCTGTCTCTGCCTCTCCTGTGTGCTCTCTCTCTCTCTCAAAATAAATTAATTAAAAAAAAAGAATGTCGCTCTAATATGACTCAGTTTTTGGTTGTTTCATCAAGTTCCTTCCCTCTGACGCACCTCTTCTGGACTTTCTGTTTTAAATATGAAAAAAATCAAATATGGCAGATTCTCTTAACTCTGTTACCCCCATAGAGCCGTTTGGAAAGACATTTAACTCGTTAGAAATGCAGTTTTTCCCACTGAGTGAAAGCAGTATCTTCCTCAGGATCAACACATACTTCCAAATACCAGGATGTCAGGAGGTCTCAGTACTCAGTGGGTGACGCTCACAGGTGGAGCTAGCTCTTCTGGATCTACAGGTCTGGTTGTGATTCATGCCTACCTGTGTATCATCTCCCTTTTTTTTTTCTCACGCTCAAAAGTCCAACCAGAATGCAATGACTGCGCATATTGTTGAACATTAAGCCTCTCGTTTTTTTGTAACAAAGTTATTTGGAAACTTTGGTATTTCACGATGCAATAACAAATTGATTATGAGAATCCTCACAGTATAAAAAGGTGGTGAGACTCCATGGTTGAGACTCCATGGTTTTACTCAGGGACACATACACTGAGGAAGGAAGGATGTTCGGACTTTCATTCAGGTCACTGTGATGCCATTTAGCATTTATAGTGGCAGTACTGAAGTGAAAATCTCAATGGCCTAGTTAATTATATGTTTCTCTTGACTAGAGGTTGACACTTTTCTCTAAAGGTTCAGATAGTATATGTTTCAGGCTTTTCAGGCTGTATGGTCTCTGTTGCAAATACTCTGCCATTGCAGTGTGAAAGCAGACATAGACAAAAACAAACAAACAAACAAACAAATCCTAAAAGAAACAATGTAGCTGCGCTACAATCAAAGCTAAATTATGGGGATGCCTGAGTGGCTCAGTCGGTTGAGCATCTGACTCTTGATTTCATCTCAGGTCATGTTCCCAGGGTCATGGGATTGAGCTCCACGTTGGGCCCCACACTGAGGGTGGAGCCTGCTTGAGAGTCTGTCTGCTCCCTGTCTCTCCACCCCTCTCAAAAAAAAAAAAAAAAAAAAAAAAAAAAAAAAGACAAAAAGAGCTAAATTATGAACACTAAAATGTTGATTTCATATGATCTTCAGATGTCACAGTATATTATTCTTTTTAAATGTTTTCACTTTGTTAATGGATAAAAACCATTCTTAATTAGCAACCCACACAAAAACAAGCAGCAGGCGAGACTTGGTCCATGGGCTGTAGTTCGCTACTTCAACTTTTATGTATGAAATCAATAGCCAGGTAGCAAACCAATTCAGTAGGTTTATTTGGTTGGTTGTGACATCCCAGCGGGACCTTCATGTAAACTAATTTTAGCTAGATTGTGAAGTGACGAAGTCTTTGATGTTTTTAGATGATACTACATATAGAAACAAAATTCAAAATGGCATAGATAGAAACTATCTTTGTCTGAAATCAGTCAAGATCCAACCCCCAAAGACAATAAGTAAGAAGCCTCAATTTTGCACAGACATTGCAGACTACTGTATTTACAAAATGTGGAAGTGTAATAGAAGCAAATTTGTTCAGCACAAATTTAGAGCTTTTTTTTTTTTTTTTTTTTTTCCTGAACGTTATTGGTATTAACCTGAAATAAATGGTATCAGTTTCCTTTTACTGGAGTTAGGAAATATTCCACAATTTCTATGCAGTTCTTTGTGTTATGAAGAACATGAAAATCTGAAAGCCTGTCTTCTAAATCTGTAAGAAATATCTTCATTACTGATTATTAATGGTAGAATTGATTTTCAGGGTATTTTTTCAAGGAGGAAAAACAAAGACAAATTAAAAAAAAAAATCAGAAGGAGGGTGGTAGACAGCAGCAATATGGTGTGGGTTAGACAATCCCTGTGATTCATGGAAAAGTTAGGACTCACAGATTAACTCTCATGAGAAAGTGTTTTATTTCTTGTAGAATAGTTCCCATCAACCAGATCATTGCAAGATTAGCACAAAATTTCCCTTATTTAGGAATCAGACAGTTGCAAAATACATAATACTTCATATGAACTTCAATGTTGTTGTTGTTGTTGTTGTTTTATAAATATCACCAGACACACATCTGGGGTTTTAGTGCTTGCCACAGTGTAGTTTTCTGGTTGACATATATCTAAGAAATACGTATATTAACACCCAGGCTATAGAGCCAAGTACATTTTAGTGCAGGCTGCAGCTGAAAGAATATGTTTCCATTCCTTGTCCATCTGTTCTTGGCAACATAAATTTAAACTAGAAACACAGAATAAGTTTCATGAGAAATAAGTCTAAATAGGGTTTAGAACAGCAAGGTGAATGAATCTATGACTTCTTAACATTTGATTTTGTAGCTGGAATGTTGTGTTGACTTGGTGAAATCTCAGCTGCAGCTATAGCTTAAAGTTTAAAAAAAATAATTGGGTTTTTTTGATCAGTTCATTTAAAGAAAAATCCAGTGGCTTGGTCACACTTTCTGTTTTAAGGGTTTATATTTGCCAATGATCATGAGCCTAACAAATTTTGAGATTTCAGAGTGTTTAGTTGCCATACCCTTGAACTACACTAAAATGTATTATCTACTTTTATGAACTCTGTGCTACAGTGGATCCGTAGTGCGGGAAGAGGGTTTCCCATGCAAAATGGAGTTCGTACAGAATACACTTGTTTTTCTGCACGTCCAACCTCAGTTATGACCAGCTTTTACGTCATTATCTTGTAAAATCATCCTGCCCTCCCACTCTGTGCTCCAATCTCCAGCTTGTTCTGCTACTAAAGTAATATTAAAGTATTCACATTTGAAAGAAGCATGAGAATGTTAAAATATAAAAGGACCATATATATGCACCTGGAATCTTGCCTCCCTCTCAGGGATCCAGGCACTCTGAGCTCAATAAGTACGCTGTGTAGGGGCTGTGTGTCAGGGCTGGGCTTCGTGGGATTCTCCTGATGTGAGGGCACCCTCTGCCTCTGGCTGAGCCAAAGTCTTCAGATTGGAAAGGGACCTTGAAGCTTATACAGTCCAACCTCTTTCCCTATGTAAGAAGCATTTCTATAATTTTTAAGACTCTCTGTTTTATATGGTTGATTTATCAAGTGCACGGTGCTTATGCATCAAAGTAGTTGGGTTCAGATTTTGGCTCTGTCACTTCCTAGGTGTGTTAATATGAATAAATTAGTTAACTTCTCTAGTGTTCAGCTTCTCTGTCTGTGAATGGGAATAATCATATTTACCCACAGTTTGTTTTAAGGGGAACCAAAGGAGTCCAGCGACAGGCACTTAGTAAACACTCAACAAGCAAGAGCTATTACTATTAGCCTCTTTCTACTGTCCTCTGTTAAAAATCATAATAATAATTGCACTGTGCTAATTATCTAGTGGTGTCCAAATAGTATTTTAGCAGCATATCATCAGAAAAAAACATTTCAAGAAATTAATATTGTTTCTTGAACTTCTGCACAAAGTCACCCATCACTAAGGACAAGTCACTCAATGATTCAGAGACTCAATCTTCTTATCTCTAAATGAAAGACTCAAATTCCACGATCTCTAGGGTCTTTTGTTCGAGTAATATAACAAAATCATGTTTGACAGCATATCCTCATACTTTATTTATAGTGTTGAAATGTATATTTGCTGCCAAATGTATAAACGTTCCATATATACATGTGGAATAACATTAAGTTTGTTGATGTTAAAAACTACTGGTATATTCTTTGGCATTATTTGGCTCCAAATTCATTCTTCCCATTTTGTTTTAGACCAAGCTGACAGCAGATCTTTTCCCACAGCATCTCGGGGTTTAGTTAAACTGAGAGCTTTAGACGTAGGCCATCTTTTCATTACTTTCAGAATCCAAGACAGGCTTTCTTTGTCAAGTAGCTTTCATTTTTCATCTTCATAATATCTAAGGGCATTAAATTGTGCACATATGGATCTACACTGTAACTTACAAGGCTTCTGTTTTCTTTCAGATCTGAGTGATCAGCTGCTAGAGGTAGTTGGCTTGGAAGGAGCCATGGAGATGGGACAAATATACACGGGACTGAAAAGTGCTGGGCGGCGGCTGGCTCAGTGCTCCTCTGTGGTCATCAGGTAGCTGTTTCTCTGTAATTGAGACAGGGGGTTGAGATGATATAAATAAAAGTTAATTAAAAGTATGCAGGACTCTGATAACAACATTTGTCTTATTTGTGCCTCAAATTATCAATAATTAACACTGATATATTTGAAAATGATGGAAATTGGCAGATTTTACCAAGTTTTGGTTAACTGTTACTTATCAAGTTTATTGGAATTTGATACCCTCGTGTTCAGACCATGGATACAATTCTAACGTACAAATTTCATCTCCACTAACATGATTCCCATACAGTTTAGTTTGCAGAGGCATGGAAGTATCTACCAGGCATAATACCCAATGGAAACACTAGTGAAGCACCATTAACTTAAATTCCTTCATGAACTAAAGTACACCATCATTTCTACAAAATTAAATAATCAATTATTGTAAAGTAAGATCTTATATATTTATTAAATTTAAACCTTTTTAAGAAGCATTTTTCCAGAACTTTACCTTTAGGGAAAAAAAAAAAAAAAGTATTTTTGACCCTAAGGTGAAACCATGGGTCATAGCACAGGTATAATTGGTGTTATTTGTATAAAAATGTTGATATTGGAAAATCTGAGACATCAAACACCTTTCCTTCAGGTCTGAGATGTAGGTTTTCATGAAAACAAGGAGGCTTTATTTTCAGCTATAGGAATTCTGACTGTATCATTAACCATAAACCCTACATTTTTCTGTTAGTATCCATAATTTGTTTTATATCATCACATTTACCAGGAAGCTCTTCATATTCTTGTTACCAAGGTACCTTTTCAGGGTATTCATTAATAGTCAAGACTTAAAGTCTCCTTCAGAAGAGTTAAGTTTAGAGCCAGCTATTGCCATATTTGCATTTTCTGGTCTCATCATCTTATATCTTACGTATAGTCTATTATATAAAATATTTCATTGTTATACTTAAAATGAAATATTTTCCTCCAGGACTAGCAAGTCTCTGCCAATGCAGATTGATGGGGAACCATGGATGCAGACCCCATGCACGGTGAGTACCGAGTAGTTGAAATGCTATATCACTTCATATTTGCTTTTCAGATGTCATGTACTTCTATAACTAACTAATCACATAATCCTATAACTGAATAATCACAATATTTAAGCTTTGGATCTATTACCAAGTACCTTTTTCTATTTATTATTGATGTGTCAGGACTATTGCATTCAGGTTTGTGGGATTATATGCCCTTGGCAGTGGTTTGACTTTTGAATGTTTGTATTAGTGTAAGTACAACCTTTAGATACCATAGATCGATTATATTTTAAACTCTGGAACTAAAGAAAATTGATAAAATTTTTCTTAATTTTTATTGTACTTATTTCAGAGCACCACGTGAGAAAATTATTTGTAGGGCCTTCAGACATAAATCTCCCTGAATTTTAACCCATCTGTTTTGTTATTTTTTTACCTCCATTTGGGGATTTGAGGGAGTCCTCTCTGTAGAACACTCTCCCTGTTGTTGTTTTCTCCATAATGAGATATTATTTAAGTTAGACATTTAGACCTCCCACAAAATTTGTTTACATTTTTTATAGTGAATATTTTATTATATTTCAAAAATATGTTAGGCAATGCCCTTGGTACTAAGAATAGAAACACGATCAGTGATAAATATCATGATCAATAATACAACAGGATCAATAATATAATTATCTTCAAGGAACTCTTTGGATAAGACACTAAATGTTAAATATAAACAGATTAATCACAAACGTAACTTCAGATTACAAGAGTTATGAAAACAAGTATGGTGAAATGATAAGGAGGAACAGGGTACAATATGGAGGATACTACTTTAGATTAGTCGACATAGGAGGCCTTTTTTGAAAGAAGAAATAAAAATTCAATATGTTAGACAAACAGTAAGGAGGGTTTTGATGACCGAAACTAGTTTGTAGAGATAGGGGGAGAACAGAAAGAGATAAAGTATAGAAGATGAACAGGAGACAGACCATGTAGAAAAAATGATAGCAAAGAGTTAGCATTTGATTCTGTGTCCATTGGGAAGCTTTTGAAGGCTTTATGCATCATCCGATTTACATGTTAAAAGGTCACCTTGGCCACTGGGTGGAGATTGGATTGGACTGAGTAGCAGCTGGGAGAGAGTCTATCAGAGTAGTCTGGGCTCAGGCATGGATAGTGACAGGGAAGTAGATGGATTTAAGCAACATTCGAGAGGTGGAACAAGAAGAATTTGCTAATGAGTTCCCTGGGGGCTAAGAGAAAGCCATGAATCCAGGTTACCTCTTACATGTGATTGATGATGTATTTACTGTGTAGTTAAGACTGGGGGGGGGGGGGGGGGGGGGGGGGGGTAACCAGTTGGGAGTGGCAGAGGAGGTCTTAATCTTAGATTAGTGTAGCATTGTGCTAAGTGCTGGTGTTATATTTAAGTATATTTTAAATTGAGATATAATTAATACACAGCATTGTACTAGTATGTATTAAATATTCACATAAACATTAAATAATGGATATCATCATTTTTCAGATGGAAAAAATGGAGGCTTTGGAAAGTTGAATAACTTATTCAAGGTCAGATACATAGTAGAACTCAAACCCAGGCTCTTTGATTAAGGCCCCTTCTCTTAACCACTAGTTTAAACACATTTAGCTACAGATTCCAAACAGTCCAGCTTAGCATGTAAAATGGAAGTGTTAATTTTACCTTTCCAGTGGTTTTACTCTAAACTTATTATCTTTACTCTTTGTGTACAGCAGATAAATATGATCTTTTGTTTATTCCTGATATATTCTTTTTAGCCACTTTGAACCCCAAGTTTGTGCATCAGTTTATTCTCTAAAAATAATGTAAAAAAAAGCCTGTTTAAAAATCTCTGTAGATTGGCTACTTCCTATACTTTCTGCTCTCTTTGTACTTGGTTCCAAATATCCTTAAAAGACTTCCTGTTCTCCCTTTACCAGCATGTATGCACTTGCATCTTGTCTGGTATTCTTCACTCTCCCCACACTTCTAAGGTGACGTTTATACTCACAGAGATATTAAAGGTGTTGCCACAAGTGATGGTGGTAGTGATGTGCTAAGGTGCTGGTGATATAGTGGTGGTAGTGATGCGCTAAGGTGCTGGTGATGTATGGCTGGTGATGGTGGTCGGGATGAACTGGTGGACATGCTACCACCGATGCTGGTGATGGTAGTTGTGGTGGTAGCGGTGACAGTGGTTGTGATGTGGGATGATAGTGGTGCTGGTAGTAACAGTCTTCTTGTCTTTAATGGAAGGCCAGTTTTCATCAGCTTGCTTCACAAGATAATAGATGAAAAACAGTGAACACCAAATGCCTTCCACAAGGACTCTGTAATTTTTGGATTCTTTTCAGGGAGAAGGGATGTTTACTCCTTACTCCATGCCTAAAATCCAAAAGAGTTAATAGTCATAATAATAATATCTAACAGTTACTAAGCTCTTAATTTATGCCATGTATAGTTTGAGACATTTGACCTGTACTGACCTGTACATTTAATTTTCACAAAAGCCCTATAATTAGTTTCATTTTATAGATAAAGTAACTGAAGCAAAGGTCAAATTGTTTGCTTGATTCCACACAGGTAAAAAGTGTTAGAGTAGAGCGGCACCTAGGTGGTTCAGTGGGATTAAGTGTCCAACTCTTGATTTTGGCTCAGGTCACGATCTCATAATTCATGAGCCCCAGGCTCCTGCTGAGCATACAGCCTGCATGAGATTCTCTCTCCCTCTCTCTCACTCTCTCTCTCTCTCTCTCTGCCCCTCTCCACTACTCACATGCCCTCCCTCAAAATAAATGAACATTTTTTTTAAGTGGTAGAATAGTAATTAAAACCAGTGGTCTGGCTCCACTGTCCTCACTCTCCATGGTTATTTCCCATCATGGATCTCAATCCAAAAAGGCCCTACACCATCCTTGTGACTCCCCCTCCAGAGCATGAGGTAAATCACTTACTTTAAAAAGTCTATGTCTGGGGCACCTGGGTGGCTCAGTCGGTTAAGTGTCCGACTTTGGCTCAGGTCATGATCTCGCGGTTCATGAGTTCAAGCCCCGTGTCAGGCTCTGTGCTGATGGCTCAGAGCCTGGAGCCTGTTTCAGATTCTGTGTCTCCCTCTCTCTCTGACGCTCCCCTTTCATACTCTGTCTCTCTCTGTCTCAAAAATAAATAAACGTTAAAAAAAATTTTTAAAAATTAATTAAATAAATAAATAAAAAGTCTATGTCTATGAAAATCTAAATAGTGTTTCAGAATAATTTTAGCTTATTTTACATAGCACGAGCACTTCAAAAGATACTTTTGTTAACTTATATTTCAATTACTAACTGGATATTTATTTTGCCTATTAATTATCATGATCTATACAATTGTTAAATTAATAATAATTTTATATAACTTATATTTAATTTTCTCTCCTTTATTTTTTTTCGAAGTTTATTTATTTATTTTGAGAGACACAGAGACAGCATGAGTGGGGGAGGGGCAGAAAGAGAGAGAGAGAGAGAGAGAGAGAGAGAGAATTCCAAGGAGGCTCTGCACTGTCAACACAGAGTCCCATCTGAGTGTTGAACTCACGAACTTTGAGCTCATGACCTGAACCAAAACCGAGTTAGATGCTTAACCGACTGAGCCATCCAGGTGCCCCTAATTTTCTCTCCTTTAAACTCTCTTGTTCTTTAATTTTTTTTAGATTTTTTTTTAGTGTTTATGTATTACTGAGACAGAGCATGAGCAGGGGAGGGGCAGAGAGAGAGGAAGACACAGAATCCGAAGCAGGCTCCAGGCTCTGAGCTGTCAGCAGAGTCGGACACAGGGCTCGAACTCACGGACCCCAAGATAATGACCTCAGCCCAAGTCGGATGCTTAACCCAGGCACCCCAAATCTCTTATTCTTTTAGAATATTCCATTCTTTAGCGGGCCAAGAGCTGTACTAGACTATGGCTCATTTTTGTCATTTCATATTCTGGCATATTCTACTTTTCCTAGAACCACATGGAGTTCTGAACTTTAAATTTCACTTTAAATGAAGAGACTATTTAAATAGTCTTCATAGGGGCGCCTGGGTGGCGCAGTCGGTTGGGCGTCCGACTTCGGCCAGGTCGCGATCTCGCGGTCCGTGAGTTCGAGCCCCGCGTCGGGCTCTGGGCTGATGGCTCGGAGCCTGGAGCCTGTTTCCGATTCTGTGTCTCCCTCTCTCTCTGCCCCTCCCCCGTTCGTGCTCTGTCTCTCTCTGTCCCAGAAATGGATAAACGTTGAAAAAAAAATTAAAAAAAAAAATAAAATAAATAAATAGTCTTCATAGCATTGGTATGGTTTAACTAAAGAGTCTTCTTTGTTTCAATTGAATAACAAAATGTTTTTCATACAGAACATAAAAATTGATAGAATGTAAAAACTCTGATGATTGAGCTGATATTTAATTTATGAAGGATTTGCTCTAGATATATAGAGCACAGCAGAGGTCTGGTTTTCTCTAAGTGGAATATATAAAATGGAAAGGCAGGTGATAAGTGGGTCTTGATTCTGATTTTAATGATATTTTTTTTAAAAAATCAAAGTAATACAAGGTCTGCGGATAAGCGGTGGTGGTGGTTCTACAGCAAGGGGAAAGTACATAATGCCATCAAACTGTATACTTTAAAAATGGTGAAAATGTGAGATTTTCTGTTACCTACATTTTACCACAATAAGAAGAGAATTAAAAAAAAATAAGATAGGGGCGCCTGGGTGGCGCAGTCGGTTAAGCGTCCGACTTCAGCCAGGTCACGATCTCGTGGTCCGTGAGTTCGAGTCCCGCGTCGGGCTCTGGGCTGATGGCTCAGAGCCTGGAGCCTGTTTCCGATTCTGTGTCTCCCTCTCTCTCTGCTCCTCCCCCGTTCATGCTCTGTCTCTCTCTGTCCCAAAAATAAATAAAACGTTGAAAAAAATTTAAAAAAAAAAAAAAAATAAGATAATATTTGCTTAGAAATTTCACCAGTCCAGAATTAAAGTATCAGGAAAAGC